GAGGAGGAGGAGGAGGAGCATTTCCACGGAGGAGATGATCAAGACGAGGATAAAGCGGCCATGTCGAAGAGTCAGCTGTGGCAGACTCCGATCTATACCTTTTCTTCATCGACTCAATCTTATTCTTACATTGTGTTTGTGTCTTTAGAGACCTAGACGAGTTTGCACGTGAAGACACATGTTTGGCAACATCCTCCCAATCTTGTCCCTTGAGTTTTGCACGGTTTCGAAGTGTCCATTTAGACTCATAAGCTTCAAGAAGGCTTGAAACAGCACCTTCACTCCACTCATCTCTCTTCAATCTATCACTATTGCCACCCCCAATCCCACCTTGTGGCTTTCTAGGGGACTCTTCTTTGTTATCGTTAATGGAGAGAAAAGAAGAAGAATTCTCATTTTTAGCTTCTCTATCCATCTCTTCTCATGCTATTATCTTTAACTGCCAACATGAAATAAGACTTGAAACATTGAGATCAAGAAAGTTGGGAAAAGCGAGAGAGCCACTAGCATTTAGGAAAGAGTAAAAGGTGTATTAGAGAAAGTTTAAAAATAAATAAATAAATAAAAAAGGAAATCCTACATGTACATAATTGTCTATATAATAGTGTTTATAATTACACGTGGTATTTGATCTAACTTTTAATTCAAATATGACACTTGCACATCAACAATCGGATGATTTTCACATCAAATTATGGACACCATTATATACAATAATTACGTATAAGTAGAATTTTTCAAAATAAAAAGGTCACTAACATCAACAAGATGCTACATAACTAAAGTGGGAGCCTCCAACCAATGAAGAATAGGTGATTTTGTCAAATGTTTAAATGATACTAATCTAACTTTTTCTACACTTTATTGCTAGTGTTTATCTTTTGTGAGTATTTGATGGTTTTGGGCATTTTTTGGCTATTAGCGTTGATATGAAGCCAACCATGACACCCACCGACGAGGTGGTGGTCAATCACGTGCCATTGTCACCCACTCTCTCTCATATCACCGTTCACTAACATTGATTTTTTTAGGACTCTAGATCCCTTGTTCTATCTAATTATTTTATTTAATTTTGATGCAACAATATAATTTTAGAGGGTATTTGACACCC